CCCCAAAACCCCAAAACCCCAAAACCCCAAAACCCCAAAACCCCACCCTACACTTTACAGTTGAATTAGCCTACTACTTATTTCATTTTGTACTGTTCAGAAGTCCTATCTTCTCTCCTTAGTATAACCTCTCTCTCCTTCTTGCCTATGAAGGTAAGCTCACAGTCTAGGATAGACCACTCGTCCTCCTTCTCTGGCTGCAAGGAGGTATCAGGGGTTATTTTAGCCATTGATCTTTTAGCATTCATCATCTCGAAGGGGTTGTTGGCCTTCTTTTCGGTAGGCATCTTGGGAGGAACACTGTCCAGATTGATTGTTTTTGCTCATTTTGTGGAAGTGCCCATTATACCAGAGAAGAAACTTGTGTTACCCACTCTCCATAGTCTGAGGGATAGGTCTGTAGCTGAGTAGGATACGAGGTAGTGCCCTCTTGAGTTGAATCTTAAGCATGAGATCTTCCCTGTGTGGCCTTCTAGTACTCTCCATTTGGTAGACGTTTTTACATCGTAGATAGCGATTGGGCCTATATTCGTACCGACCGCTAGCTTTTGGCTGTCGTGGTGGAAATCAATCATTGGGAACTTCTTCACCAAAATCCCAAGGATAATCGTCACATCAACTAAGGAGTTTTTCCTCAGAGGAATATCGTGTGGGTCAAGACATTTCAACACAATTTGGGTGATCTGGATAAGATATGGCTCTAGCGCAATTCCATAGAACTTTATATACTGTTTCAAGATCTCAAGAATAGCTCTTTGGAACTCGTGACTTTCTTGTAAGGAATGAGCCTCTTTTTGGATGTAAGCCAAAAATCTATGAGGGAAGTTCTCACCTATCTCTAGTAAAGTTTTAGCAGCAACTCTTTTGAGTGAAAGTTCAGGATTGGTGACCTTCACAATGTAGAAATTAAAGTCATTCAGCTTGATGCTTGAGTGCTGAGCCTGCCCAGTAGGTTTATAATCATTATAAGTGTGTAGAAGAAGCTTAATCACATCTTCAAGGATATCCTCATTATCATAAGTCATGTGGTAGATCCTGATTCCAGTTGAAAGAAGTTGGAGAAGGATATTCAATAAATGCATATACATCTGATTCTCTCTTGCCTGTGTAACTGTGATCCTTGTTAACATGATGATCAGCTTTGATCATCTCCTAGCAATCTTGGGATCAACTATTTGGACGTAATTCAATGAATAATAACTGATAATGATAAGACCTCTAATTTCTAATTCTCCAAAGTATTTGGTGAGAGCATAATGATCTCTACTAGAGTTAAGGCCAAAGTTTGGGATTCCAGTAGGATCAGCAAATGACCCCTTGATGTACTTGTCATTATTCTTCAGCTGTCTGTAGGTATCCATAAGTAGAGCCGACCATTCCTCCAAGAGATGAGTTTCTTTCTCGATATCAATATTGTAGAAAAAGAATCTGAGAATAACATCTCTTGCAGTGGAATTGATGTTGAAATCTTCTATCAGGAGTAGCTTGTGGATGTACGACAAACTCAGGTTCTTAGCATTAGATTTTTTCATTATCATGAGAAGGATGTAGAGCCAATTATTGATGATCTCAGCAATAGGCTTCTCTTTCATCTCGATCACTGAGACTAGCATTGAGAGCATTGCGGTTGTAATGGTGCTACTTTGGTATTGAGAAACTTCCCAAAGCATATCATTGAAGAACTTTGATTCCTGTTTCTTTGTTAAAGAACGATATCTTGGGAGTTTAGGCTTATTCTTAGCAATAACAAAAGTAAAACTTTCTCCAAATCCTTGGATTCCTTGCCTTATATCTAGGCATGGAAGAGAAAGTTTAAATAGATCCTCCAACTCCATATCTAAAGCATCTGAAAGTCTGAATGGATGGAAAAGAGACATCAGCTTGATTGGCCACTCTCACTCATCATTTGAATAAAACTCTCTGTCGGTATGATATGAAGCAGTGCTGCTCTTCCTGACATTCATGACTTTAGGCTTATTGATCATCTTGCTATACCCCTCCATTGATACTTTTTGGGCGCCTTTATAGTCCTCATAGTCGTCACCTTCTGCCATTCTTGAGAGTTTCCTTCTAAATTCATGAGAGGATTCTTTTTGGCCGAAGCTGGAGGATCTTTTGCGTCTCATCATATTTCCGCCGATAGGGAGTTCATCTGAGTCAAAGTCGTCATCTTCCTCTTCAGCAGAGACGTCAGGGTCATCCATGAATTTTCTTCTGAGATTATTAATGACAGTCTTAATGTTGACCATCATGATCTGTTGGTTGTTGCCTCTCTTGGAGAGAGTCCCGATATGAGCCTTGATGAAATTGACTCCTGTCCGTTTGAAGTCACTCTCATTGGCATCACTATTGTAGAGGTGGTTATTGAGGTACAGGATCGAGTTGAGGGTCTTGAGCATTTCCCTCCTCTTTTCTTTGTTGACTTTTATTTGTCTCCGGTTTGGCTTTATTCTGAGCAAATCGTGCAAAGCTTTAGTGTACTTTGAGGAGTAAATCGATAACTCATTGTAGTCAAGAGGTAGGTTCAGGGATAGATTTAGGTAATCTAGAGTCTTGTGCTTTCCAAATTTCATGTACAGGTTCTTTTTCTCACATAGTTTATCAAAAGTTTCGAAATCATTCAGGCTGATATCTGTAAGTTCATGGGATTGGAAAATATCGCCTGTTGTAAAGATGGACTGGATTATGTCATCTAAACAGAGAATGTTTGAAGCATCCTCAAAATTTCCTTTTCTTTCAAGAGTAAGAGTGACTTTACTGTAATAAAGCATATTGAGATCCTTTGTTAGAATAAAATAGTAGTTGTAATCTCTATCATAATAAACTCCAATTGCATGAGAATCAGCACTGAGGAGCTTCTTGATCTGCATAGTCTTGAGAGAAAATAAGTAAATAATATTATCTTCTCCCACAAAAGCATACTCTCTCAATTTCTTCAGCCGTGGCTTGGCTCGGTCAGATTTATTCTCTTCCTTCTTACTCTGACCTCTCAAAGACTCAATGTCCTTAACTTCAAGAATTTTATTTATACCGAAGGGGGACATGTCCTTGAATCTTTTTGTGTGAGGAATCTTGACAAAGTCCCATAAGTTCTTTGTATATGAAGTGAAGCTATTCCTTCTTTTCTTCTTGTAGTCCCTTTGGATATCTATAAGTTATGGTTTATATAATGTACTTACCTCTACTCATTTTATCAAATCTTTTCCTTTGGATAGGCAGGACTTTTGACATATAATGCTCTAGCTGGTAGAAGTGGTCATCTATTAGCTTCTCTGAAATATGGGTGATGCAGAAAGTTCCTTCCTCTGAGATACTGAACAAGAACCGATTACTAGCAAAGAACAACCCATTAATTTGGTTGCCAAAGTGGCTATCAACAACTATAATCGGGTTTGGTTGACCTTCTCACCTTTGGAACATGCTTACGATGAAGATTCTGCCGTAATTTGTTCCTATGACCAAAGCCGGGGTTATTTTCTTCAGTTTCTCAATAGCAGTGATAATGAGAGTGCAAGTGACCTTCTCTCCAGAATAAAAGAATTTGTAGTAGTTGATGTTCTTAAACTCCTCTTTGATTATATCATTAAATGAAATCAAGTTATGGCCTGTCTCTGAGTGGCTCATAGCTTTCTCATCTTTTAGTAAATGGTTTTCTGAGGGTTCATTGTCTGCAAATATATCAGTAGATCAATGCTGTAATGGGATAGAATCAGGCCTGAAGATGTCTTGGTCACTTGCATACGTATAATATCGTGCATTTCTCAGCATGTCATTAATGAACCATCCGAGGAATTTCTTCTCTTCATGGAGAACTATATAGAGCATCTTTGAGAAATCATCGTACTGAATCTTCGTTCCTTCTCATAACTCTTCTAATCTTGAAGATGACACTGGATGATTGTTAATTTCAGATTTCTCCAAAAGGTTCACCATAATTAATGGAGCTGTCTTTTCAGGGATCTGGTCATATCTGTCAATATAGCAATCATAAGTGTCAGTTATTATGAGAATATATATTCCTTCGTTTTTCTGGATAGATGTAGCGAAGATGATGTCTCCGATGCCTTTGAACTTGTCGATTTCAACAATATCTTCTACATCATCGGAAAGGTGTACGATATTAACTTCTTTATCAGTAATTACGAGGATTGTCTGAGAGGTATTCTTTTTGCCAATTTGGAGAACCTCTTCAGAATAAACTAGCTTGTAGTCTTTAGAGTACTCATCAGGTAAGATTAGAGCCTTCTTGAGCTTGAAATCAATATCAAAATCATTCTCTGATCAGATGGTTTGAAGGTTCATCCCATTCACATTAGTCTGGATCTGCCAAGTTGAGATTTTTCCTTTTACGTCAGTAAGAAGGATCCAAATATTGCTTTGGTCAACTTTGACAAGGCTGATGTGTTTTACTCAATCAATGTCAAAACTAGAGTGTTTAAGGAGCCTCATTCGGAACATATTGATGATATAAACATCTCCTTTCTCTCCAAAACAAAGAAGATATCCATCATAGGTAGGGATTGGGAAAATTCTCCTTAATTTTGTTAGGAAGAGATCTTTTGGAGAAAACATTAAGCATCTTCCATCAGAAATACTCCAGATTCTGATTACATTGTCATCATGAAGACTGACCCAGAGGTAATCAGAGGTGGATAAAATAAATTTAGCTGGTGATTCCACCACAACTCCATCTAAAAGCTTCCCTACCTTCTCTTTGCTGCTAATCGAAGGAATCAGGAGTAACTTAGGATGTAAGAGAAGGTGATATCAGGTCTTGTGAATCTTACTGGTTTTATTTTCTCCAGTGTTTTTCTTGACAACAGTTCGGGAATCTACATCTAGCGAATAGAAAATAACTTCTCCACATAAATCTGAGAGTGCAAGTATCGGTCCATCATTACCTCCTTCATACCCAGGGTCTTGCTCCTGTCTGTCTTGTATCAAGACATCAGAGAAGCAAGATTTGTTGGTTTCAAAGGCAAAATTTGATCTTGAGAATACCAAGAAGGGGATATCTAAGCTTGCCATTTTTAATTATAATTTTCAATACAGCTCTCTTCTTCTGGGGTTTTGGGGTTTTGGGGTTTTGGGGTTTTGGGG